TTTAATTCTGTAAATTTATTATTCAATTAAAATTAAATTTTAGTTAAAAAAATTAAGAAGCTTGAATTAAAAAAGTTATAAATTATGAAGTAATAAATAATCATTCATTAAGTATTAACAAAATAATTTATTAGTTAATAGCAATTTATTAGATATTATAGTTATAATCGAAATCATCGGTCAAATCAAATTAAAATGAGCAAATGCTAAGTCACTTCTAAACTAACATAAAGACTGTATCATCATATGCTTATGGCTTTAATTATATTTAATTAACAATAATTTATTAATTAGTACTTACTTGTTAATTAATACGATAAATTAAATAGTAAAAATTTATGATAAGCTAGTGTTAAATAGATAATTGCTATGAAATACAAATAAACTAATTTATTAATTTTTAATAATATAATTTTTTACATAATAATTATTTATTAGATTTTAAATATTTATTATTAAAATTTTAGATTATCTTATTATAGTATCAAGAGTTTATCTCTTCAGCTTCTAGTAAATAATATTCGCTAATTAATATTTAGTTGTTAATTAATATGAGAAATTAAATAGTAAAAAAATATGATGAGATGTAATTTAAAAGTCATTGATTATAAAATCTTGAATACTCATTTTATTAATTAGTAATAATATGATTCACTAATTAAAGTTTATATTAGACATTGGATGGTTTTGAGTGAAATCAACAAATCAAATTAAAATGAATTTTAAGATTTAGAAAAGAAAAAAAACAATATATTTTAGCCATATGCTTTTTAAGAATTTCATATTAGTGTAAAAACTATACATTATAAGGCTTGTGTTCTCTAAATATTCTTAAAATAATTATAATTTTGGATGCTTATATCTATCAAGAATTTTAGATACATCATGAGATTTATATTTGAGATTCTTAAAAATCATTTTGTATATTATGAGTCTGATGAGATTTTTAAATAATTCTCGTATTTTTTAAGCTCTTTAGACGAATGAATTCATTATCATAAAAATTTTTATAATCATATTCATTTATATTATTAGCACTCAATCAAAGCTATTTTATTTAGGTCTTCTGAGAGTTTGAAGCATATATTCTAAATGTTAAAGCCCTTATGAGTTTTTTAAATTGAAAAGGTAAAAAAGTAATGTTATTTCTTTTAAAAGAAATTACTTGAAAATAATAGATATTTGATTAGCTTTAAGAGATGGAAATCATATATTGACCTTTTTAAAACTTTGAAGAAATGATGAGCTCATTTTTCTTAGATTGCTTCATTAATAATGAGATATTCCTATTGGATTTGTTGGGTAAGCTTGAAGATAGTCTAGATGGAAGGCAAGGTATTTGCTTTAGCTCTGTTGATGATTCCTTAAAATCATAATACAAAGTAATTTATTTTTATCCATGAAGAAATTCCTTTTGATGTTGAAGCTTATCCCTAAAAAAAATTATGTTGGTATTGAAGTCAAGGCAAGTGATTAAATCCACTAAATTTATTGAAAGCTTGTGGGCCAACTGATAACACAAGAAGGAAAGTTTGAATTGGTTATTTCAATAGATATTCATAAGATGGTGACAAAAGAAAATATATAGCATGATGAAAAATGAATATTGAGGAAATTATCATTTCATTGATAGAGTCATAGAAGCATAATGTCCCTAGCTCACATTGCTTTATTACTAATTCTGAGGCCTACATGCCCCATCAGAGTGCCAACTCATTCAAGCAAAGGGATTACTCTGTTCGGGCCAAACAATTACATAACAAAGTCTAACCAAGTTCAATGACTTTGTTAAGAAGTCTGTGACTTCACCGAGAGGATTAAAAACTTTATCAACAACCTCAGCTGATTAGCCAACATTTTTAGCTAATAAAGATTGTTGAACATATAGACTTATAATTATTTTCAGAGATACATCGAAGTATTATAATTCATTGTTTATTTATTTTAGTTTAGTCACATTAAACATCGACCATCTAATGTATCGGTTAGGAAAGTAGATGTTTTAGATTCAACTTATGTTAAGAAAGACAGAGATAGCCCACCTACATAGACTTTGGCATATTGTATAAAAATGGTCTTATTTTATTAGAATTAAATGAAAATATGACACAATGGAGAAAAATGATTCATGTAGCCGACCCCACTTAGTACGTGAAAGGCTTGTTGTTGTTGGTGGTGAGACCTACAATGCTCTATGACATAGAATGTTAGCCTTTAAAAGAGAAACATAAAATTAAGTTTAAGTGTCGCCAAGATGAGAATGCTCAGGTGGATGAGTAGCTCCACACTTAGAAATAAAATCTGAAATGAATATATCTGTAAAAGTGTTAGTGTAGCTCCTGTGGCAGACAAAATTAGAGAGAGTCGTCTTAGATGGATTGGTTACATTAGACATTAATCTTTTGATGATCCAGTTAGGAGAGTAGATGTTTCAAATTAGATTTATGTTAAGAAAGACAGATGTAGACCACTTACAAAGATTTGAGCATATTGTACAAAAAATGATTTTAATTTAATATAACTAAATGAAAATATGACACTCAATAGGAAGCAATGGAGAAAAAGGATTCATATAGCCGACCACACTTAATGAGTTAAAGGCTTTGTTGTTGTTGTGTTGTAGAGACGTTGAAGCTTGTGAGATTTAGTAAATCCAATTAAAGACAACAAACACTTTCTCCGGATTTACTTATTAGGATATCAGACAGTTTTCAGGTTTAACCCCTTCAAGATTCAGTATTTTAGTTTCAGTAATTTATGGATTGGATTTTACAGTTTTCTCTTCCGTTTACTGTGTACTTTCTTTAAAATTTTAGTAGTCTGTAAATTATATGCATGCATTTTAGTGTTACTCTTTCTTTTTATTGCGTATTATTGTACTTTCATCTTCAGTACTATGAAGATTTACTAATTAAATTTACCTTCTTGATTGCAGATGATGATTATGATCCGTTAGTTAATGTAAATCGTCGTTAAATTTGTCGATAATTTAATTGCCGACAAGCATTTTTGCTACGCCAATTTTGTGATAGTTAAACCATCAATAAATATATCACATACAATTTATCTTTTATTAGTCATGTTATTTGACCGTCGGAAATAAACTAACTTCCCGAAGTGAGTCCTTACCACTCTCATGCAAATATGAAAGAATGATCATTCACACACGAATATATCACTAACGTAGCCGAGTATGTTGGCATAAATGTTTAAACTCCTCAACAATCATAAATACATCAACTTGTGTGGCTAGGAGGAGGCATTAAAATCAAGGCACTCACTTCAACACAAAAAAAAAACTCACTGCGGCATTGATACCCACATTAAAAAAAAATGAGGATAACTTCAATGCAACTAAAATCTATTGCCACATTGCCAACTTGAAGGGAGAATCAGGTGTGAACTAAGCATGAGATCTGGTTATATCAAGCATGACAATCATTGGTGAATAAGGCATCAATACCAAATAGAAGCATCATTCGTGCCTCTTCCTGAGTATCCTGCTTCTAGTTGATGAACACAACTAAGAAAAAAAAATACTTCTTTTGTTACATTATTATACTCACACCCAAATATTTGGGATCTCAAGAAATATTGAACTTTTTGCAATGTCTATGGTTTTTTGGGTCCAACAATACATATGTATGTATTTGTATGTGTATGTGTAGATATATAAGAGAAAAAGAGATATTTTAAATAAGAGAAAAATAACATTTTTTATCATTATTTTTGTATCCTATGAATGTTAAATCTTAATCATTCTAAATTTTGACGACTAATGGAAAAAAAAAGGTATAAGAATATATATTTAATTATATACTCTTAAATGGATACTAAGCAAACCCTTTCCAACTCGCACTTAATGTATATGACTTTATTAGTTTAAATAATACGGGCATTTAGATACAAACTATTCAATTTCCATGTACCTATTTATAAATCTAGCACTAAAATTCCGCTCTTTATATTTATATCAATCAAGACATTCACATCACATAAAAAAATATCATCATTTTTACTTTTAAAAAGAGAAAGAACACCTTTCAAGTAAAATGAAATGCTAGGTAATAGAGATATATAAATATTCCTAAATAACATTATTTGAGAAGTTTGCTTAGAAAACAAAATGCATATAATCTTATGGAATGCTTAATTATTAATGTTCATAAAATGCATGCGCCATTCACAACTCATTCCTTAGATAAACAAACACACTTCGGTACTACTTTTGGTACTACACTTTGGTACTTGTTCCCTTCAACCTCTATCCAAGCGAGAGAGAGAGAGAGAGAGAGAGAGAGAGAGTTTAAAAATAATAGGTCTCAAATTGTCTATATTTATGTGATATTGGGCTCCTTGTGTATGGATAAACTAAGGCCAACGCGATAGAATGAGCCAAATAAGATTAAATATATAATTGTATTAAACAATCAAGGTCAACTTAGCTATGGTAGCAAGATCAGAGCCAACGAAGTCAAACTTCAATAAGTCAACAATAATGATGTTAGGGGAGAACTCAAACTTCTAAACTAGATCTAATAATCAATAGCTATTTTGGACAAATCTTATAGTTAAAATAGAGTTATTATTTAATAAAAAATGAGCAAATAACAAATCTCTAATCTTTAATTTTTGGTTGTTGAGCAATCAAGTTAATCTAATTTGATATAATACCGGACAAGTTCTATTTTTTATTCATATATATTATAGATTCATTATACTTTATCACTCAATATATTCGTATTTATTGAAAATAAAAGAAAATAACAAAATTAATACACGAGATTTTAGTTGCAGATTCGCCCGAAAAGAATGGAAAATATTACATCTATATACCGTACGTGTAGACATCTACACAACAAACACAACATTTACGTACAAAATAACACAATGCCACAATGCAAAGCACCTCATGATCAAAACATCTAGACAACAAACACAACATTTTCTCCAATATATATATATATATATATCATTAAGCCAGAGTGCAACGAACATGTCCCATGCATATACATCTTAAATTAAGAATCTCAGAATGACTCGCAAAATCACTCGAGTCGAAACAACAATGGCAAATCAATTTCAATAACTTTGTTTAATTTTTCTCCTAAAGCTCAAAGTACACATTTCTCTACGGCTAGACGTTCGCATTATATATATATATATATATAGTTATAGGTGGAAAAGCAGCTAAACTTCCACAGAATTATCAAACTGGCAGCTAACTCCGCCGGCAAGAAAAAAACTTTAGAACCCCATCGGACCCCCTTATAATCAACGTAAACTCACCACCACCGCCGCCGCCGCCGCCGCCGCCGCCCCCACCACGACGCCAATACACAGCGCTCACAAACCCGGATTCAACCCTCCCGAAACGTCGAACCCATATCGGCTCCCCCCACCTGAAATCATAAACAAACACCTCATTCGTCTCGGAACCAGAGGCTATAAGCCCCCCCTCCCCCCATACCTCCATCCCCACAAACACCC